TAGCTGATTTTGAAGGTTTTTTCCACCCTCAACATTTTGAGTCCATGAATCTGCTTGGAAAACCACCTCCCTGTTAGAAATCATTTCCTCTCCTCTTACATTTGATGTCTACACTTGCTGCCTTTGCCCCTGGCCAACCTCCGTTTTCTCTATGGCAGTGCCTGTGCTGTAGGACACGCAGGAGGGGGGCACATGAAGTCCCCAGGAGAAGGCCACATAGGTCCTTGTCACAGAACACTGGGGTACTGCGGTCTGCTCAGGGCTGGGCGGCTCCTGTTGAGTCACAGGCCACTGGCCACAGGCCACGCCAGAGGCAGCAGAGACGGCGTCAGGATAGACTGGAGCTGTTCTCATCACTGGCAGTGTGAGAGGACCTAACGTGAATGGGTTATAACTTATTCATGACTAGAGTCTAAAATAGCTTCTTATAACTAATTCACAGCTACCACGTGAGTGCTAGTGTGCTATTTTTTCGGATTCTAAAATTATTACCCTATTTCCACAGGCTTTGTGAAAAGATAAGTCTGCGATTGCCAGGAACAAAGAAATTTCCCATTTTTAAATGGTGGGGCCCTTTCCTATCAAAGATACTCCATTGCTTTTAGTCTAAGAAATGTGGTACAGGGACACTTTAAAATACTGCTTCTGGCATGTCAAGAAATTACGGGATGAGGTCATGTTCAAATCAATACTGCCGCAGTGCTTTTTGATCCATGCAATGCAATTCTTGTCGAGATCTCCACTCAGCAACATTAGGAAGCAGTGTAAAATTATCCGAAGCCCGTCTGTGATGCAGGAGTTCAGATGTGAAGGAAAAGTGGAAGTTCATTAGGCAAGAGGATGGGAGGTGGTTTGCCAAGAGCATTCCAGATGGAGGGAGCCAGGAGGGAGCCAGGTGCGGGAAGGCCCTGTGTTGGGGGAGGGGTGCGGCAGATGGGGCTCCAGAGAGGACAGCGGTGTTGGTGGAGCCCCGAGGTGACTGGTGTGGGGCGAGCCCGGGAAGGGGCAGGCCGAGCAGGCAGGGCCTCTGGGAGCGGGGGGTTGGGGGGGGGGGGGCCTGGATCCCAGGAGCATTGCAAGGATGCCAGGCGGTCAGAGCTCTGTTTGTGGATGCAAATGTGGGCAAGATCTGTGTGTGCACTTAGGAGGGACGGTACGGAAAGTTTATGTGTTTAAAAGGGGGCGAAAGCAAGTCTGGCTGTGGTCCCGCCCCACCGTAACACCTGAGGCGTGGCTTTCTGACCACCCCGGCCTCCTTGCGGAGTCAGCCCAGAGGCAGAGAGGGAGCGTGGCCCTGGCTCTCAGAGTGGGCACCTGCCTGGACCCCCAGGACCGGGACACACGTGACGCCACGGGTATCTTGTTCTTTCTCCTCAGACCAGCTTAGCTGCTTCACAGCGGCTCTGGCTAGGCGCACGGTGCCCTGCCCTCAGCCAGCTTCCGGGAAGCTTTGCCGCCGAGTCTTTTCTGCCGGACTGGAAGGGCAGCAGTGCCCTCCGGCCGTCGTCCGTCTCACCTGGAGCACGGAGAGCCTGTGGACCCTGCCCCGGGGAGCAGTGGTGCGCCCGCGTCTGGTGCACACCCCCCGTGCAGAGGCCACCGCGAGACACCGCGCCTGTGCCCTCCGTGTCAGAGCACCGGGTGTGGCGTGGGCATTCCACGTATGCGTGGAGTTGAGACCCACCGCAGCCTTCGGAATTCTGGCCCGCGGAGCCTGAGGGCCCAGAGAGGCTGCGAGGCTCCGATGCGGCCTTTCCTGGTTTATGTTTTCCCTTGTTGGTGCGATATTCGCGTTTTTCCTCAGGGGGCGTGGCGAGAACAAACGACGATAAGCGACAGGAGAGCACTTGGTGCTGGTACAACTGGAGATGGCCCGTAAATAAAATGATCGTGCCACCATTTAAGCCTTAATGCCCTGAAAGAGAAGAAAGAACATCACTCTTGAATTAGGATGAGAATTGGACACGAGCTACTGACAGGCCATTTGTCCTCCTGCTGCCACAGAGCAGCCTCGGTGAGGTCGGGGCCCACGTCTCTCCAAGGACCTTCATTAAAAGCACGTTCTCACCAGGAGATGGTGTTAGCATCCCTCCCCGCTGTGGGAGGCGGTCTTGGCCGGGTCTCCAGAACCCATCTCTCCAGAGTTTGGAAGAGCAAGGCTTTGTCAAGCATTAATTTTCCAAACCGATAGAGTGAATAGCACATTAACAGGCATTTAGTGCCT